GGGACCAACGGATTGTCGGCGTGTTCGCAGTGACTCAGTTGTTCAGTCGTGTCTAGAAGTGGCACACTGGACTCGCTTTTTCGGTTCGTTCCTCCGTTCCGTTTCTCGTCAGCGTGGAGTGATGAGTGTGGCTGCGGGTGTTTTTCGCTGCTCCGTGCGTGTTTGCGTGCGCTGCGGGTGGTGCGGCTTTGTAGTTTACTAAAGTCGTGCTGGGACACATGAGTGGATTCGTGTATAGGGCGCTCTGGATTGTGGGGCGCACAGTCATTTTTTGATGGGGTTGGAAGCTTAAGAGAGCATCTAATAGTGCGGAAAATACGGTATGTTTACTACTACTACCAGTGTTGTGTGTAAACTAAATCCATCGAATTCTTCATCCTCGGTGTCAGTTCTGAGTAACTCCGTGACCTCCGGAGGTAAACAGAGCGCCGCTTCCTCTTCTGTGTCGCTGTCGTCAGACTCAGCATCAGTTCCAGTTAGAATTATTCTGGTCTTTCTGAATCTCGACAGGATGGTTTCGGTGTCACTGAAGTCCAGGCTTTGTCCATCCATCCACTGACTTCCAGGAAAGTTGCATGTTGCACAATCCTGGTGTCACACGTTTCTCGCTCACTCCCAAACTTTCTTTCTGCTCCTCGATTACAGTTTTCGGCTGCAGATTTCGCTACTTGCAGCTTGTAATCTGCAAAATATGATTTTCTTTTTGGGGGCATTTGTGTTCAGTCTTCTCAGTTGTCTTTATAAGATTATTTAAATTTTTAATTTTCAGTGGTACAGAAGTAATGGTGTGATCGATTGACATGATACAGACAGGACAGAGGCTCTTTCTGCAGGAGACATGCGCAGTAGAGCCAAGTGTCAGAGGTACAGGAGTAACAGGAGCAGCAGATACTGACACACAAGCCTAGAGCGCCCTCTTGTGGCTGTCAATGTGAAAATTTGAATATATAAGTCGCAGGAAACACCCAAACCATGAAAAAAAGTGTGATTTATAGTCTGGAAAATACGGTAACCTCTTCAAGTTTCAAGATTGAAGGAGGGAGGGACATTAAAAGTTCTTGCATTTGTTCAGTTGCAAGACATTTAATGGTTATTGACAAACGTGCATTCATGAAATTGAAGGAGATCTGGGACATTTTTTTTATTTTTGTCGTTTTTTGTTTCAATTGTCCACAGTTTGCATGTACTTTAATGGTCTGATTGCTGATTGTCTATTGCGTTTGATTGTTTCTTTAACATATGGACAGAAGAACGGATCAGTTTTCTTATATTCTGAATTGAATTGAAGTCGTTTTAGCTTTTATACACCGGTATATTCAGTCTTGCGGTGTATGAAAACCAGAGACAAAGAGAACGCCACGCCACGCCACACTCTCACTCACTCACTCACTCACTCGGAGCTGTAATCCAGGTTCAGCTTTGATCTGAGTTTAGAGGCGCTCGCTAATGGAGCTCTCTGCTGCATTTAGACAGTGTGTGTGTGAGTTTGCGTGTACGTGTGTGTGTGTGTGTGTGTATATTTGGGCAGGCCAGACACTCATGCAGATTACAGAAAGCGCTAATGGATGCTTTCTGAGTCCAGTCTCGGAATTTGTAGAATCTGGAGTATTGTAGAGATGTTCCTCTTTGGTATGTTAATGTAAAATAACTTCAAATCTCGCAATGTGTAAATCAGTAGAAATATGTTAAGAACTATTAGAAGTATCTGCATTTGTTGTGGATCAAATAAATGCAGACGAATGAATGGCTCTTAAGTATGTGCTATATTGTTACACGTTTGAACAGCAATGAAGAGTAAAAGCTCAACATCTCTTGTCAAATGCTGCGAAAGTAAAGAAGCAAATTGTTTAAAGTTGAGTTTCATCACCGTAAATCAGACAAAACTCAGGCCCAGGGATCAAATTTGGCCCGTGATATAATTATATTTACAGAGCAGGGGAATATCGGAATTATCTCATTGTGCTGAATAACAAATTTGGTTAATTACGTGCCTGTTACTACTGTACATGTATCATTTTGAAGCTTCGTGTACTAATAAATGGACAATGTTTTATGTTTTATAGGCATCTAACTCCACCCCAAGGCTTACCTTCTTTCTTATAACCGTTTCAATTTCTTGCTGCCGCTAAAATGAGCAGCTCTCTGGCATTTTTGTTTTGTAAAAGTAGCTCACCAGAGGAAAAACGTTGGAGACCCCCTGCTACAGAGACATTATTTATTTAAAATGGTGTTATTATTTTATATTATGCTTGTTCAGGCTTCAATATTTCAGCAAAACTATTATTAGGCCGGGAGGATGTTTTTTGCTACCTTTTTTTCCACTATTATTTTCTGTTATCTTATATCTTGGTCCGTTTGGTCTCAGGGCCCAAAAAACACCCTTTTTAAGAGAAGCTATTTGTGAAATTATGTAAGTGTAAATATTAAGGTACTGTAACTGCGTACATGGTCAAATAACCCTAACATTTTGCATGGTGTATCCTAGGGCTGGGCGATATGGATCAAAAAATATATCTCAATATATTTTGCTATATCTTGATATACGATATATATCTCGATATATGTTCAAGAAAAAATAACCCCCTAAAACTGAAAACTGCAAAAACAAATCTGTCTTTTTTTAAATTGAAGTGTAAGAGGTCGGCAGTTCATATAGGAACATTTAAGATTACAAAAAACCCTAATTACATAAATAATAATTTAACTGTAAAATAAAAGAAATAATACATATTTCCTTCTTTTCATTCATAAATAAAACAACTCAGATCAAACCCAATGTTTCCAAACACTATTGTACAAGTGACACTAAGGCAGATTATTAATAAAAATATTCTGCATAAATAAACTTTACATTGCTAAACTTTACAATATATAAAGCATAACGACTGTAGAGCCACATCAGCCCGTTTGCGATAATAATGTGTTTAATGCAGTTTTGCGCACGTGTGTTTACATTTTACAGAAACGAAACTTAAGCGCATGGCTCATTTGCATAAACAGCACTTCTCACGCAGCTCAACTCGTTTAGCTTCTTTCGGGCTAAAGGACGCGACTCGATGGAATATGAGGATGTGCTGCTGGTGGTTTTGTCTGTAAATGGTGGAAAAGGTTCGTGGTGCTTGAAGCTTTTCACTGGCACCAACTTTGGGCGTTCACGGCGAGTGAAGGAGACACGAGCGAACAAAATCAGGGAGGCGGAGGCGACGAGAGAGAAGGTAAACAAGCGAAGCGGCGAAATCAGAATTGAATATAAGCATTATATCGATATATGTATGTCAGAATTCATATCGAGTTTAAAAACTATCTCGATATATTTAAAATATCGATATATCGCCCACCCCTAGTGTATCCTGACACATGGGGGAACTAGCAGAAAAATATTCTGGGGCTTGCTGACTTTCTACTGTCAAACATCACCCTCAACATACACCCAAAGAGAAAAAAAAAAGTCTGTCCGCCTGACAAATTGTCATCAAAAGTGATCATTTTAAAGCATTTCATTGCATATATCACTGCCTAAAATATACATGAAAACTTTCCCAAGTTTATATGTATATGAAACATTTACTTTACTATTTATTTTACTAAGAAAAGGTTTAACATTACATGTCCCGAAAGAAGAACAAAAATGCAGATGTTGTTGAAATTTTTCAGTAAATATTTAGTTTGCCCGTCGACTTGGTCTCAGTTTTTTATTTTGGCCTCTGTGAATTTGAGTTTGACAATCCTGTTCTTAAATACACGTCTGATATTTTACCTTTCTGAAACAAACTGCAGATATTTTGGGTTTTATGAGTCATGAGTCTATTGTTTTTAAGAACCACTGTTGGTTTTTGCAACACGGTGTTTTAGACAAAGGTATTATAATCACAACAGAACCTGAGTTGCCTGAGTCTTAACCTGCAGATAGAGACACATAAAAGTTTCTCTCATTCTCAGTTTCTGGACAGATGTGAAAGCTCAAAACCTCCACAGTTCACTCACTGAGCTGCAGAGGCTGCACTAGCACTGATTCATGACTGGCTGCAGGTCCTGGGGTTTAGTGAGTGACCTTTCAGATCAGAGAGACGCATATAAGGTTTAATCCAACTGAATGAACTGCTTTCTGATTGAATAACTGTCTTAAGAACCAAAATCAACCAAAATTATGTAATATAATACTCCCTACAACTGTACAACAACTTACCCTAATTTAACAGATAATACTCCCTGCAACTGTACAACAACTCACCCTACTGTAAGAGATAATACTCCCTACAACTGTACAACAACTCACCTTAATGTAAAGGATAATACTCCCTACAACTGTACAACAACTCACCCTAATGTAAGAGATAATACTCCCTACAACTGTACAACAACTCACCCTTATGTAACAGATAATACTCCCTACAACTGTACAACAACTCACCCTTATGTAACAGATAATACTCCCTACAACTGTACAACAACTCACCCTTATGTAACAGATAATACTCCCTACAACTGTACAACAATCTCACCCTTATGTAACAGATAATACTCCCTACAACTGTACAACTCACAAACCTTATGTAACAGATAATACTCCCTACAACTGTACAACAATTCTCACCCTTATGTAACAGATAATACTCCCTACAACTTTACAACAACTCACCATTATGTAATATAATACTCCCTACAACTGTACAACAACTCAACCTCATGTAACAGAAAATACTCCCTACAACTGTACAACAACTCACCATTGGGTAACAGATAATAATCCCTACAACTGCAGAACAACTCACCATTATGTAACAGACAATACTCCCTACAACTGCTTTCTGATTGGATAATCGTCTTAAGAACCAAAACACAAAATTATTACATCATGCCCAATGTTTTTTTTTTTTTTGTGTTTTTTGTAATTAAGAATAAATGAGCATTTGGAGTTGAATCTGATTTGGAATTTCGTACATAAAACCGTACATCTGGTCCCTTTAACCTTAAACAAAAGTGTCAGTGACGGTTCTTACCTCTTGCAGCGTGCGTTTGAGTCGGAGCAGTAGTGTTTTGACAGCGGTACAGTCCTGCTGCATCAGCCTCAGGGGAAGACTCTCCATCCCCACGGCGAGAGGCTCCTCTTCTCTCCCCACAGCCGGCCCCGAGTTCCCCTCAGCGGGCAGCAGGCTGGAGGGTCGACTCGCCTCCCTGGAGAAAGAAACAGATCTAATGTTACTGTAGTAGTAGGGAAAATGTTCACTCCACAGGCAGGCAGCCGCTGGGATCCGCTGGTTTTTAACTCCAGAGATGATGTTTTATACAAGAATCCTCAGACATAAGATGCATAAACGATTCAAGCTTTCCTCCCTCAAATCATGCGTTAATATTATGGCCCGATGTGGACCGGAGATAGAAAGAATGGGTTAGTTATTGCCTTCCATAAAATACTTGTTTACATGCTTACTAAAGCTGCAAATGAATCACGGAAGAATCAAACTTGGAATTTTAATGGTCACAAATGGCAAATCCAGCACTTTCAGCAACTTCTCTGGAAACAAATATCTTTTCTTATCGAAAACAAACCGGCCAAACCACAAGTAAAGATCACTTCAGCCTTTAACTTCTTGGGTTTTTTTTAAAGACAATATAGTAAAGTCTATTTTATCTTGTTGAGATGTTTCGGCTGCTCGCTGTAAGTCATTTTCAGAGTTGTTCTTGGTGTTGGTGGTGACATGTCGTATATCAGGTGTTGTCACTTCCTGTAGGCGTGGTCAGCCTGATGGATCGCTCAGACCTCACGGTTAATGCTGTCCATGCCTCGTTTTCTGATTTCGCCATCCTCCCTGATCCAGCGTTTGAACTTGCTGCTTTCCGATCCAATGACCCGAGCCCTGTCCCAATCCATAACGTGGTTCTTTCTTTTACAGCAGTCCAATATGGTGGATTTCAGGTTTTTCTCCTCTGTTTTGTCTTTTTGTGTTCTGGCGAGCCTCCCTGATGTTTCCCTTTCGCATTTCTTTTGGTGTTCGGTAACAGCAGGAACGTGTCAAAAAGGTAAATACACTTTACTCTATTGTCTTTAAAAAACAAACCCAAGCAGTTAAAGTACATAAGACGACAAAATGAACATCTTTGGGTCGCTTCAAACATGTTTAGAAATGCATAAGATTGGTGTACTTGTTTAGTCATTCATATCTGAGTGTTTTGTGAAATTTTAATGTGTCTTGAAATGGTATAAAATGTGCATAATGGAACAGTGTATTGTATAATAAACTTGAGCTAAGGGAGTGCGATGTCACCCAGAGCGTTCGACTCCGGTCAAATGAAACTCACGGGGCTGGCAGTTATAGGAGAGAATTTGGAGTTCCTTATTTACAGACAAAATGGCGAAATAAAAACACCGGGATCATGTTGAGCGGGTTAATATGAACATTTTTTAAGACCAAAATGACGAGGCTCACAGCAACGTTATTGTTTTAGGACTGTGGAGGATAAATCGAGCAGTAACTTGCTGCAACATATTCGAAGTTCAGGTTTTTACCATGTGTGCAGAAAGTTACGGGAGATCTTCTATATATTCTGTGGTGACCAGCGCCCTGTACTTTGCTGTGGTCTGGACATATAATACTCCCTACAACTGTACAACAACTCACCTACTGTACCAGGGACAGAGGAGCTCATTCTCCAACAGGCTCCTACAGCTTCACTCAAACAGTGAGAGATATAGGACTACATTCATACTATAATACTCCCTACAACTGTACAACTCGCCATTATGTAACAGATACAGTAATGCTTCCTACAACTGAAAAAAAATCACCATTATGTAGTATAATACTCCCAACAACTGTACAACAACTCACCTTTATGTAACAGATAATACTCCCTACAACTGTACGACAACTCACCCATCAGTAACAGATAATACTCCCTACAACTGTAAAACAACTCACCCTTATGTAATATAATACTCCCTACAACAGTACAACTTACCCTTATGTAACAGATAATACTCCCTACAACTGTACAAGTCACCATTATGTAATGGATAATACTCCCTACAACTATACAAGAATTCACCCTTATGTAAAGGATAATAGTCCCTACAACTGTACAACAACTCACCCTTATATAAAAGATAATACTCCCTACAACTGTACAACAACTTAACCTTTGGAACAGATAATACTCCCTACAACTGTCCAACTCACTCTTATGTTATATAATACTCCCTACAACTGTACAACAACTCACCCTTATGTAACAGATAACCTTATGTCCTGTCAATCATATCATTGTTTCTTCCTATGACCTCCTATATAAAGTTGAGATTTTTATATTTTATTGCTTATTTTTCAATTTTATTTTGACTTGTGCATTTACATTTATATAATTATTTCACACCTGTCTCTTGCTATCTTTTTTGAAATGCATTTAGAATTTAATATTACCATTTATATATATATTTTATTTACTTATTTATATATTATATTGTGATGTGTAAGCTGCTGTGTCCAAATAATTTCCCTTGCGGATCAATAATAAAATAAAATAAAGTTTGTCTAAGTCTACGTCGATGTCATTTATAGACTCTGTCGTATATCTTATCTTTTTGTGTAGCAATTTTAAACCTTTTTGTGCGATATAATGAAGTGGATTTGGATTTAGATAAAAACATACAAACTCCACAGAGGAAAAAAAAAAGAAAACAGGAGTCAAACCACAAACTTTCCTGTTACGAGGCGAAAAGTCCAACCACTCTGCCACCTCACTCAGTGCCGCAGGCCATTTAGCTAAGCGTATAGACAGCTTGCATTTGTTTGTGCACTGTGTTCCAGGCTGTTTGGGTTATTGCTTGTATTGATTGGCCGCGTGTGTGCAGAGTGCAAGCAAGACTATTACTGCTATTATGCTTTGTAAATAATATTCATTGTTCTCCGTTTCTAACCGCTGGTTTAGGAATAAAAACACGGCCCGAACAGAACACTGAAATCTGCAAATAAACCGAGAGTGAGCGCAGATAAGAAGCTCATTACGGCCAATACCATTTTGTCCAAACGCAAGACATTTGTTATGAGCTGTGGAGTGGAGCTGGACTATTGTGCGCAGAAATCCATTTGATAATACGGCTTTTTAATTGAAATTTATTTTTCATTTATAAAGTGGATATTTTGAAGAGGATTAATACCTCACAGCACACCCACCGAACAAAACAACAAACAAAACTATAAAAAGGAAGGTAGTCCGGACCAAGACTAGCTCAAGATCTGGAGATAGGTCCATACCCGTTAGGACTGCTTAATCGAGATTAAATCGAAATTGCAATTTGAACGGACGCAACTGGCAAATCGCAAAGACTAAGGTTTAAAGGTGCAACTTTTCTGGCGGAGAGTTTGCCATCTACTTGTCTCCATGGAGATATTGTTGCTTTGTCTGGAACGTCTGGTTATTATAATAATACATCATTTATAAATCACTTTTAAAAACAAGATTTACAAAGTGCCGTTCAAGCAGCAATGAACAATACAAAAAGCATAAAAATAGTAAGGCAAGGCAAGGCAAGGCAAGTTTATTTGTATAGCACAATTCGTACACAAAGTAATTCAAAGTGCTTTACAGAATAAGAAATACATTAAAATCATAATAAAAACAAATCAAAACATAAATAATCATGAAGATTAAAATTAAAAAAGAGAGACATAAATTGGAGAGAAGAGTGCGGAATGAAAACCTTTCAGTTTTATGCACAGTTAAACAGAAATGTTTTGAGTCTGGATTTAAACAGCGTCACAGAAGAGTCTGTCTCACATGTTCAGACTGTTCCAGGTTTTAGCTGCATGAACCTGAAACGCTGACTCCCCTTGTTTAGTCCTGACTCTGGGCACCAGCAGGAGGCTGGTCCCTGAGGTCCTCAGAGTGCGAGATGGTTCATATGACACTAACATGTCACAGATGGACTTTGGTGCTCGGCCATGGAGACACTTGTACAAGCAGAGCTGTTTTAAAGTCTATTCTCTGAGGCACAGGAAGCCAGTGCAGAGACCTGAGCACAGGACTTATGTGCTCGTACTTCCTAGTTCGAGTAAGGACCCGAGCTGCAGCGTTCTGGATGTTCTGCAGCGTCTCACAGCTCGTTTGGAGAGACCAGTGAGCAGAACATTACAGTATCTAATCTACTGGAGACAAACGCATGGATAAGTTTCTCCAAGTCTGATTTAGACAGTAAACCTTTGATTTTTGCTATGTTTTTTAGATGGTAAAAGGCTGCAGATGTTATTGATTTGATGTGGCTGTTAAAGTTCAAGTCTGAGTCCATTATTACCCCTAGATTTCTTGCCTGATTTGAAGGTTTTAGAGAGAGAGACTGGAGGTGACTGCTGACACTGTCCCTTTGTTTCTGTGGACCAAAGACTATGACTTCAGTCTTGTCAGAGTTTAGCTGGAGAAAGTTGTTTTGCATCCACACACTGATCTGTTGGATGCAGTGACCAAGTGTGACTCCACTGGTCCATAGTCTCCTGCTGCCAGAGAGACGTAGATCTGAGTGTCATCTGCATAATTGTGGTAGGACACATTATTGCTGCTTATTAACTGGCCTAATGGCAGCATGTAGAGATTGAACAACAGGGGGCCCAGGATTGACCCCTGAGGCACCCCACAGGTCAGGGCCATGTGATCTGAGACACAGTTTCCAATTTCAACAAAATACTTCCTGTCTTCTAGATAGGACTTGAACCAGTTTAGTACAGTACCAGAGATGCCCACCCAGTCCTCTAGTCTCTGTAAGAGGATCCCATGATCGACAGTGTCAAAAGCAGCACTCAGATCTAACAGGATCAAGACTGAGACTTTGCCTGCATCAGTGTTCAGGCGGATGTCATTTGTCACCTTGATAAGAGCAGTCTCAGTGCTGTGGTGGGCTCTAAAACCTGACTGGAAAACATCAAAGGAGTTGTTCATTTGGAGAAAGTTCGTAAGCTGTTGGTAAACAGCTTTTTCAAGGACTTTGGCAAAAAACGGCAGATTTGAGATGGGTCGGAAATTGTTCAGTACTGTGGCATCAAGACTGCTCTTCTTTAGGAGAGGCTTAATGACCGCAGTTTTCAACGCGTTTGGGAATGTTCCAGATTGAAGTGACATGTTAACTATGTGAGTGAGTGGTGAAAGTAAACTGTTGAGGACGGACTTTAGAAATCTAGTGGGTAACA